AACGTCCCCTCTAACTCACCCAGTCACTGAAAACCTATGAATGGCCTGTTCTCAAGAGGTGGTTTATTTCTGCTGCGGTTGAATTACCTCCGAAACTGCAGCCTGTGAGTGTACGACAGCCTTAGAAGCACAGGGACATGGGGAGTTGCACCTTAGCAGCTGTGCTGGTTCCCGAAGCTGCTCCACAGAGCCTTGGAGAGACTGTCCCACCTCATCCAGGGCCCTGGCCCAGTGAAGGGCGTGGACAACCTTCTCGGTAGTTCTTTCATATCCCCCAAAGGGCTGGGCAAGGTGAGAGTCCACAGCTGGTGGCTGGCAGACCAGGCACTGGCCTCCACTAGGAAACACGAGAACTTCAGTGTGGGGAGCAGACGGCTGGTGAGACTAGTCTTGTCAGTGCTCACGTGTTGCCACCCAAATCGGTGACGAGGCTGGAATGGGAGAGTGGGAGACTCTACACAGCGCGGGAGAAGTCACACAACGTAGGGCTCCCGCTCTGTGGCAGGCCCCTGATCCGAGCCAAGGGAAGGTGGCAGGTGGCGGACACATGCAGCACACGGGCCTGGCCAGCGCCCCCAGGGAGCTGCACACCTCACCCCCTGCACTGTTCGACGTTCCTTTTCCCGGGCCTAGAACCAAGGTCTCCTGACTCGGCTGACTCGCCTGATATGCACTGATTCTCTGGTCTCGTGTAATCCAGAGATATCTCCACGGGAAGTTATAAAGAAGAGAAGCATAGCGTTTAAATGTTTCTGTGTTAAGACGTCGGGTGACCGCCGGTTACGNAGTTATAAAGAAGAGAAGCATAGCGTTTAAATGTTTCTGTGTTAAGACGTCGGATGACCGCCGGTTACGCACCGGGTTTCCCTCGGCAGCCTTCCCAGGGGAAAGAAGTCTGCTGCCCTAGTGTGTTCCCCTTTAATGCCGTTTTGAGTAACGTCTGTGGAAGTAAATGTTACAAAGCCTTATAAAGCCACATAATCCACGTAAAAGCCCTTCCAGCGTGAAGTGGGAGGCGTGTGTGTTCATTGTAGTTACTACGGATGTAGCGCTGAGAAGAGCCACTGGAAAAGCAGAATGAACACTTGGCTCCAGAGGAGGAGAGTTACTTGTCTGAAGTGCAGAGACCGATGCTCAGAAATCTTCCCAACTGCAGCTAAAATGTACCTGTAGCCAGAGCCCCTAACATCTGCGCGAGATTGAGTTAGGTTAAGTGTCTAATAGAGCCTTCCTGAGTACTTTTTTCTTTAACAAAACTTAAATGATTTTTGTAAGTAAATTTGAATCAATATTTTCCAGCTTCTTCTGAGCAGCGGTGCTGACTTCAGTCACTCATTATTTAGAGCTCACATTTGCACACTCGCCCGCTCACCCACTATTACTTGTCAGTCACTCCCCCCCGTTCAGAGCTCACGTTTGCACACTTGCCTGCTCACCCAGTTACCTGTCCCTCCAGAACCAGAGCTCACACCACCCTCAGCACGCACAGGTGTGGTGACCATGCAGGTCACCTGACGTAGACATTTCCCGGTTCAGGGGGAGCAGGCGACGCTCTGCCTTCTTGTTGCAACTCATTGGAAATCAGGGTCCTTTTCGTGGTGCGTTTAGTAACGTTTTCTGCAGTTTTGTGCTTTTGGCTGGCGCTTGCCCTGTCCAGCGTGGCCCGAGGACAGTGCCGAGTGCTGGGGTTGCTGAGCCAGGCAGCTGTGAGGTGCCTCGCGAGTTAACTGAGCTTCCTTCGGGCTTGAGTTACCGCGTCGTTGGCCACACACTCAATGCAATTCGTCAGCACCCTCCTATTAAATAAGGTCTTGAGACAGAGAGACAGAGCGAGGCTAGGCACTGACGGCGAGGCCTGGCCAGAGGCTCGCAGGGACCTAACCTGTGCTGCTCTGAGGAGCAGGGGCTCAGTGTTCACGTGGCTTTTATACGAATCGTGAGAACTCCCTGCGCAGCCGCCTGCCCTGAGGACTCGGCCCCTGGGCTGCCTTCTGATCTCGCATGTATCACTTGTCCCCTCTGCTGTCATTTCGAGGACATGGAGGAACTTCTGAAGGAGGCTTCCAGCCTGGAATGGCTGCCAGCACAGCTCCTGTCACTATCACCCTTGTCCCCCTGCCAGCCGCCTCCTGGCCCCGATCTACAATCTCCTGCGGAGCAGGACTGAGGAGGGAAAGGAGACGTGGGTGGTCAACCCGCTGGGGCTGCCTCGCTGCTCCCGGCTTCCCGCTGGGCAGAGCCCCGGGAGGGGAACAAGTGCAGCCCGGGCCCCGCGGCTTGGTTGGTTGAGCGTCATCTATACGCTGAAAGGTCTTGGGTTCGATTCCTGGTCAGGGCACATACCCAGGTCTCAGGTTCCATCCCCGGTCGGGGTGCACACAGGAGGCAGCAGATCGATGTCTCTCTCTCTCTCTCTCTCCCCCTCTTTCTCCCTCTTTCTTTCTCTCTCTAAAAAAAAAAAAAAATAGGAAAGGAAAACAAGTACAGGCAAACCTTGGAGCCCTTGCAGGTTCAGTCTAGACCACCGTAAAGCTAGTGTCACAATGAAGTGAGTTGTAATCTTTTTGCTGCTGGAGGGTCTTGCCTCTGATTTATAAGGAACGCAGCCCTGGGAAGCGCAGGGAAGGAGGCGAGCCTGGGTCTTCCCGCTCGCCCGCAGCGCCTGTCCCTAAGCGTTGCCCTAACCACTGGTTTTCAAACTTGGCAGCACGTTCAGAACACGTGGGGAGCTTTAAAAGTCACTGCCCTCTGGGTCGTGACTTACTTGGCCATGACCTGCAAGCTTTAGAAGCTTCCAGATGATTCAGGTGTGCAGAAGAGTTTGAGGCCGCTGGCCTCCATCACTGGTGTGTTCTGCCTCGGGGCTAGGTCCTGTGGTCTGTAGGCCTTTCATAGTGCTTACGTGGGATTAGAGAAAATCAGTATTCTAGTGACACTGGTTATTTACTGTAACTCTCTTTTAAAGCTGAAGATACTTGGGAGAAGCGGGTTGGAAGCGTTGCTAGTGTAGCAGGGCTGGCTGGTCTAGAAGGAGCACTAGCACTTGTGTTACAGGAGGCGTCCAAGGCCCAGCCCTGCCACTGTCCAGCTGAGGGAGGGTGGGCTCCAAGGCCTCACAGGGAAAGAGATTAATGCCTAACCTGAGCCTTGCCAGTTGAGTTACAAAAGCAACTAACTGACGTTCGATAAATTACAGACTTCTGGTAGGCTGAGACCTCAGACTGTTACCAATGGAGTAGTCAGGGTGGTGGTTCTGTTTTTAACATGACAGGCTGACCCATTATTTCAGGAAGAACTAACTCTTGGTAATTGGAATTCATGATCTAAATTCCATCCGAATCAATCCCAGCTCTAAGAAAATCATGGACTTGGTTTCACTTTATTTACGAGGGCTCAGAGCCAGTCCAAACCGCAGCTCTGTTGTGATAAGCAGCCAGTGTACCTTAAACATCTGATAGGAATTAGTCATCAAACCAGAGTCAAACACCCAAATTGAAATGGGCTCCTACTTTTTTGTTTAAAAGAGAAGACAGTTTTCTCCGCAGTCCCTGCATCTTCGTGGGCGGCTCCCGGCTCCTCTCAGCCCCGGCTCCCACCAGCCTCACGAGACCTGCCTTACCCAGCTCCTGCCCCCTCCCTTCACGCTTCTGTCACTCGTCCCACGATCGGCCCTCTGCCGAAAAAGTCCATCCCCTCCTGTCACGCCCACAGAGCACTTTCTCTGTGAGGTCTTTCCTGGCCATTCCGGAGAAAATCAACCTTTTCCTCCTCACCGTCCCTCAGGGCTGACTACGACCGTCCCTCCTCCGCTCCTCACCGTGTCGCTTCTCCTCTAACAGGACTCGGCGGCACAAAGTACATCTCCTTCGAGGAGCGGCAGTGGCACAACGACTGCTTCAACTGCAAGAAGTGCTCCCTGTCTCTGGTGGGCCGGGGCTTCCTCACCGAGAGGGATGACATCCTGTGCCCTGACTGTGGGAAGGACATCTGAGTCGCCGGGTGACGCTGGCCACGCAGATCTGCGTTTCCTTCCTCTGGCTCCCCGGCCGCGCCAAGGCTCCCTCTGTGCTTCTCAGTGATGCTCACGTCTGTGTAAACCTTTCCATCCTTTGTACTAGTCAGTCCCAGGGCGGGAGAAAAACCCTATGGAAACCCTAGCGGGGAAGATGGTTTTGAATTTTTATAATCAAGCAAGGCAAATCCACGAGCAGACTTCCTGTTGAATGTCTTTGGACGTGTATCTTTCTTTCACCGCCTATTTAATTTTTAAGTGCAATTAACATATCACGAACTTGAAAGCAATGGCGAGCTGGTACCCACGGCTGCGGCTGTAGCTTCCTTTGTGTAGGGCCCGCAGCGAGGTTGTATGACTTGCAATAAAGTGACCCGGCACAGTGTGTGGAGCAGTGAGTGCCTGTCGAGGTTCTGAGCGTGAGCGACACTTTCTGCATGCTCCCCGTGGCCGTCTGAAGTGCCGTCCTGGTGGGCTGGCTTGTGAACTAAACTGTCTCGCACCTCATTGAAAAGCCTCGGTCAGCACCACACCCTCTCCCTCCCTCCCTCGCTGCTTTCTCTTTATTCCCCTCTCCCAGCTTTCTTTCTCTTGGAATTTAATGCTCTGCCTTTGATGTAGTTACGTGACCTCCTGATGTAGTTACGTGAGCCCCTGATACAGCTGATGAGACTGAAGGTAGTCTTGGGGGCCACCTGACAGCTCAGAGCTTCCCCATCGTCATGGATCCTGCTCCGACGGGTGAGGGACTGCAAGACACAGCACCTCGAGGCCAGAGATGGCGTCTCGTTCTGTGTATTCTCAGCGCCTGAGCAATTTAGGGCACACTGGAAGCCTGTCAGTAAGTGTTTCTGCAAAGAAGAGAGAAAAAGGCAGCATCGCTGGTCTACAGACAACACTGAGCTGCTAGTTGGGCGTCTGTAAGTCACCTTGGAAAGCAGGCTGCACACCTGAAAGCGCCAGCCAGCCTGTGAGCTAGGACAGTGCATGCTTCCCTTTCCAGAGCAGTAGCAATGTTACCCTTTGGTCCTCAGTTTTCCAAGACGATGCCTTATGGTATAATGATACCGTGAGACAGAAAAGCCCGGTGGGGATCCAGTCCGGGCCGTGCTGAGCATATGCCAGTCAGTTCCTTGGTCTGCGTGCTGTCGCTGTGAGGGGTGTGTGACCACGTCTGAGCCAGGCCTTCCAGATCTAAGTTAGCTGGAGGTTTAAAAAGAATCAATCCACCTTTGTTAGTTGTTTTGCCATCTTCTACTTCATAGTATAAAAGTAAAAGCATTCCTGCAAATGTGCTTTTGAAAATAAAAATAGCAGAATTCCAAAAAAAAACAAAAGAATAGCTTTCCAAATTTCATTATGCAACATCTTACCTGTTCCTTATTTAAACCACAGATACACTACACGTATCCAACCTTAAATTACCTAGCTGGTCAAGAACAATAAAGATCTTGGTGGCGAGCAGTTACAAGGGGCCTGGTAGCCCTGTGATACTAGTAGCAAAAAGCAAGTGGCAGACCAGCCAGAAGTTTAACAGAAAAGCCAGGGAAGAAGAGCCCTCATGGGGTCCCACTTGTCCCTGGGGGATCGAGGAGGCTGGGTATGGACTAGGCTGCACCCGCTGAGGAGCAGACTGAGGGCATTCTCCAAGCTTAGCAGTCGTTAGTGCTAAGGACCTCTGGCCTGGCTGAGCACATACTGTGCACATGTTCAAAGGCCTGCAGGAAACCATGTTGGAAGAATGAAAGGAACATATATAATAATGATTATCAGAGTAATAATACCAATAAAGAGTAAGCATTAAAAGAAGAGCCAAATGGAAATTCTGGAGCCTAAAAAAAGTACAATAACCAAAGTGAGAAATTTACTAGAGGAGCTTGAGCTAGGAAGAGAAATCAGTGAACTTGAAGATAGATCAATAAAGATCATAAAATTCAAAAAACAGGAAAAAAGAATGAAAAGTGGAGCCTCAGAGAAATGTGAACCACCATTAAGTCCACCACCATGCAAAACAGGAATACAAGAGGGGAGAGAAAAGGGACAGAAAAAATATTTTAAGAATTAATAGCTGAAAACTTACCCAGGTTTGATGAAAAACATTAACCTAAAAATTATCTAAGAAGCTGGAAAAACTCAAAGCAGGAAAGATGCAGAGACATCCGTACCCAGACACATCATAGTAAAAATGTTGAAAACCAAAGATAAAGGGGAAATTCCTGAAAGTAGCGAACTAAAATTGGAGCCCCCAGTTAGACGTACAGAGCCCGCAGGGCCTCCACCCCAGCACCACCCAGCCCGTCAGCTGGTAAGCACCACCTTGGACAGTACTTCCGACTGGCTCCAAAATAATGCAGTTCTGTGATAAGCCACTTTATGAACACGACTTTTTATTAAGCTGAAATAAAACACATAAAATTGCATAATACAGATGTTAGCAGGTAAGACTCAGTGATGGAGACAGAAGTCAGAACAGTGGCTACCTCTGCCGGGGAAGGGACCGGAGGGGGCTCTGGGAAGCTGAGGATGCTCTGTGTTGTGGTTGGCGAGCTGTCACCCTGCCAGGTCCTGCACGTGGTCTGCTTTCTCTTACTAAGTTGAACTGGAAACAGCCATGCCCATCCATCTGCAAGCGGGGTGGTCCACTATCTGGCCTTTACAGGACGTTTGCCGACCCTTGCACTGTATCTTGATCTGGGGAGTGGTCACTCTCACACACACACACACACACACACACACACGTAAATTCACTAAGCTGTACATTTTAAACTTCACAGTATTTTATGATATCTCAAGACAAAAAGTATGTTATACTTTTTAGTTTCCTATACTGGACAGTTAATCTAAAGCTTGTCTTCTTTCCTTAAACATAGCAGGCAAACTTCACTTTTACTTGATTAGTCTAATACCTAAAAACTTTGGGGTCAGTGTCTCCCACCTGATGTTTCTGCTGCATCTCACAGTTGGCACAGGGTTTCCCTGTGCACCGGGGTAGCTCTGGCCTGCACCAGTCACCTCTATAAAAACTACCTGCAGTGTTTCCTGAGGCTCAGAGGTGTGTCTTCCTGCAGAGAGCTGCGCTGCCCCCAGCTGGAGCTCCGCTGGGCTGGAGCTTCTTCCCAATGTCAGGTTCTGGGTCCCATTCACCATCCGGGCTGTCAGATTTGGCTGCAAATCTGTGTGAAACCTGCTTGCTTGCTTCCAGCCCCCACCTCGCGTTGCCCCTTCTGCCTCTCCCTTTCCTGTTCTTTCTTTATATTTCCCTGTTCATTCTTTCTTTCGCACCCCCCTCCCTCCCTCAGCAGGGCAGGTTGACTCTAATCCACCTGTGTCACGCGGGACAGCTGCTCTGCGGGCTCCTAGCTGCTAGGTTTCCTGACGTGTGGGCGCAGAGCTGTCTTCTCTCCTTTAAGCACATTGGTTGATAGTGCACCTGACAAGCAGCCTACTTAGCCGGGTCCTTGTGGTCTCTCAGATTTTTGCCTGTCAACTCTTTGGGGTTTTGGGTTTTTCGTTCACTGGGGGGATGTGTTTTATTGAGATACGTTGTAAGAGCACAGAGGAAGGGTATCTTCATATGGCAAGGAACTTCCAGGAAAGGGTGACAGAATGCCCTCTGGGATCCCACACTAACAGCAACAGCCCCACCTCTCCCCACCCGAGAGCCCCTGAGCCACAGCACAGAGTAGGCTTGCAGGGGGTGTTCCATGAATGCTGACATTAAGGAGGGCCCAGGCAGTGCTGCTTCCCGGGGCAGCGGAGAACTCAGGGCTGAGCTCTGCTCCTCAAGGCAGAGCAGCCAGTGGGGAAGTTTGGCTTGTTGGCTCCATTACAAGAGGCTTCGCGCAGAAGGGGCAGGAACGTTGCTGAAGAAAAGCAGGGGGCTGCAGCTTAGAGGTCCCGGATGAAAAGGGGGTTGAGAGGCAGGTAAGGGGGCCAGTAAGGCATTTGGGGGCGGGGAGTGAAAAGAAGGAAAAAGAAGACAGATGGTTCTAAGGGTGCAGGGATGTCCAGATGTTCTCCAGGGCCCTGGGTGCTCCTGACTCCCAGGTGCTGGCTGTGCAGGCCCGGCTTGGTGTCTTCCCCACACAGTGATCTTTGGAAATGGCCTGGGAGGAAGGGGCTGGACTCCACGTCAACAGAGATTTCCAGGCCCTCAGAGTGGACCACGACGTCTTTCAGGGTCGAGGTGCATCTGGGCACTTGGGCTCGAACATACGCAGCAGGTCCAGGATGTCACGCACCAGGACAGCCACAGGGGTGAGCGTGTCCCCTGCACACCAAGACCTCTTCGGAAGCTGCAAGAAGAGCTTCGTCTCCTCGGGGAGCGCCTTCAAGTACCCAGGCTTCGGTTTCTCAGTCAGGGCCAGAGCAGGCCCTGGCCGGGCACATGGGTGTCCATAACCTCATCCTCCAAATGTCCTTGCGCCGTCCCCTCTCCCATCTCCCCAGAGCTGTGCTTGTGGGCAATGCAGCCAAGGGTGGTGCTGCTCTGCGTGAGCCTGTGAGCCCCACGATTCAGTGGGCTGTTTGGGGAAGTCCAGGCGAGCTTGAATTCTCCACTCAGCGTCTGGCTCCCTCTGTGATCTTCCTGAAACTCTTAACCCATCTTAAAATCAGGCAAAAAACATGCAACAAATCAAATTGAGGGGCATTCTACAAAACACCTACCCACTATGCTCCCAAACTGTCAAGGCCACCAGAAATTTGAGGAGTCTGAGAAACTGTCACAGCCCAGGCGAGTCTGAGTTATTATGAAGACTAAAGGTAAGGCGAGACCCTGGGACAGGACATTAGCTAACAATGTATCGATATTTACTCACACCAACGCACATTAGTGCCAGAAGCTCAACACTGCCTCAGCCATATTTCTATACACCTCAAACTCTACAAGGCTTATGTTTTAAAAGTTTATTTTAAAAAATCATGTAACAGGGAAGAATAGACGTAACAGAAAGCTTAGCTTGGTGTTTTTATATTTATAAAACTACCTTTAATCATAACTCACGTTTTACAGCCTTCTAAGGTTTAATTATTAGTCAAAGAAATATATTTTGGTTCAAACTATTTACCCAAAGGCTAAAAAACAAGGCACCTGATTAATTTTACTAGAGATAAAAAAATGTTCAGTACTATTATACACTTTAGTAACCAGTCGTTTGTTCTGATTGAACTGAACGCTTGGTTAAGTCTGAACACTAACAGCTTCCAGTTTCTCTTAGAATCAAATACAAAGTCCTTGGCAGCCTACCAAGAGTCTCCAGAACCGGGCTTCTGCCCTTCTTCTTGGACTTCACTTTGTACTATCTTCCCCACCAGTCATTTTGGTCTAAAAACCCATGAAGACTCCGGCGTTCATGTCACCATGGAGTCTGATGTCTGTTTCTAGTGCTGGGTAGCAAACCATCACCAAAACTTAGTGGCTTAATACAACTCATCCTATTTCCTCGTGATCCTGCGAGGCAGCTATCTGGGCTGGTCTGCCCTGGGACATTCACGCAGTCAGTCACTGGGCGGTGGGACAGGGGAATGGGTGACTATCAGCAGGACATGTTTTGCCAGCGGGCTTCTCCCCATCACGCTGCAGCAGGGGTCCAGGAGTGACAGTAGAAGCATTTTCTTGATCACAATCTCCCATTAGTAGGATGCGTTTCCTAAGAGCTTCCCATAGCTTTCACCTCCTAAAATACCATCTTTTCCAAGAGGCCTTTCCCAACCACTAGATTTGTAGTTTCTCACCCTACCTCCCCCATCACCGTTCCATGATTAGGCTTGGCTTTTCCCATTAGAATCATCCATTGTTCCTTGCTCACTGGCCCATCTCCTCTTCAGGAGCAGGAACTTAATTCACATATTTCTTCTGCCACAACAGGGAAGACAACCAACTCCAAAAACAACTGCCAGCAGAGCACTAGTTAGGGAAGGGTACCTGAGGCTATTCCAAGGTAGTTAACTTAGAGCTTCACTATCAACCCTAAGACACCAGTTTAGAAGTTAACTTTGTTAAGATCACCCAAACACAAATAAGCTCTCAATGAATCTCTGGTTTGTCCCAGTTAAGTGTACAAGGAATGAGGGTCGGAACTTGTCTCCATCCCCCCAAGCATAGTGGTGGCGAGTGTGTCAGCCCGTCACATGGGGTGTCCTGAACATCCGGCCACTCTAGCCACGCTCCCTCCACAGCAGGGGCCTCAAGATGGGTGGACTATCAGAATCATGCCTGAGCGCAATCAGTCCAGGTACAGAAGGTTTTACTATAAAAAATGACACTTTTCAATAGAATTTACTCAAATAAAAAGAGATCAAGTCATTACAGAGTATTTTTCCACTTTATTTTTTTATGAATGGCAGACCTACTCAATAATTTTATTCAGTTTATTTAAATAAGGATAAGGCTACTTAAAAGACTTTTTACATACAAAAAATGTACATTACAAGGTTAAACTTTCTGTACTGAATTACAAAACCTGCACAAGCATTGAATAAAAGAGCACACTTAGAAACATTTGAAGTCCCACAGTAGTGAACAGAGGAAGCTCTTACATACATGTGATTTAATCTACTGGCAGTTTTACTTAATGTAAGTTTTTAAAAGGTCATTGCTACTGAATGAACCTCTAGATCACTTTTAAAATCATCTCTGAAAACTGAAGTCAACCAAAAAATTATTTCAAATAATAATTACCATTCTGAAGAATTTTAATACTAGCAAAAACATTATGGCCTCATAGTAGTAGTTGAACCAGCTTTTCAAAGGGCCCGGATGCCTACTGGAAAATGGTACAGCCTACAGCCACTGGAAGGCCGCGTTAAGCCCAGGGCCGCATGGCCTGGGGACGCTCCCGAGCCCACAGAGCAGTCCGGGATCCCTCATGTGGATGAGGGTTGGGGTCAGNCTGCCTACTGGAAAATGGTACAGCCTACAGCCACTGGAAGGCCGCGTTGAGCCCAGGGCCGCATGGCCTGGGGACGCTCCCAAGCCCACAGAGCAGTCCGGGATCCCTCATGTGGATGAGGGTTGGGGTCAGCCTAGCCTCACCCCGCAGCGAGTGAGCAGGGCCAAGCAACATGACTTGTAAACCTAAGCCTGAAGCTTAGGATCTACAAGAAGGAGAAAGGCGATGAAAGCAACGAGTGTGAAAATATGGGAAAGAGGACGAGAAAGGAAAACAGGGAACAAAAAGGGGGAGGAAGGAAACAAGACCACCTGCCAATGGCAGGAAGTGATCAAGTGCCATAACTACACCTTAGAAGCCACTCACTGACACAGTGCATTCACTTCCTACCCATAATGAGAAAACCTGGCTTTACTGAACTATAGAATCAAGAGCAACAACAGTAAGCCATGTTAGCAAGTAAAGAGGATTCCGAAGTTGTTAGCCATTCAAATCTAGTCCTTCTCAACGTCAAAGCTCACCAAAGCCACACTTCAAAATGTGAGACTCCTCGCACTACTGCCCAATTCCCGTCCCTCGGCAGGCCTCACACGTGGAGAAAGACACTGAAGACCAGTGCTCCAGGATGCTGGTGTATGTAACACATTTCAAACTCAAAATAGCTCAAGAACATGCTGCTACATGAGCACTGATTCTGAATTTCATAATATAAACTTCAATTTGAAGCAACAATGTTACACAGTTCAGCTGTTATTACCAACCTACTTTGTAAGTTAAATATACAAATTAAAAATTAATTTTGAGTAACTAAAAATAAGTTTCTACTGACTTAAAACTGTCAAATGGCTAACTCTCTCTTAACAAAGAGAGAAATGCAGATGAAAGCAGACCGAACTGAATAGAAAATAGAATCTGTCATTCTACCCTAAAATCTGCACTTTTCAAAATCTCCCTTAACATAGTTATGTGTAGGAATACACTTGTCCTTCAACAGTACTACATACATCAGCCCTGCAGATAACTGTGTTTAACAATTTGCCATAACATTAACAATTTAGGCAACACCTAGTATGTATCCGCTCTGCCTTATGTGTACAGACGTGTAGTCCGGGTCAAAGTGGGATGACTGAGGACTGCAGGTTGAAGTTTCAGTACAGTATTCCCCTGCAAGGTGGAATTAGTTCTGTGTAAGGCTACTCAATAGCTGATCTAAAATGCTTGTTTTAACAAATCGCAAGAGGAATGAGACTGCTCTAAAAAGTACTGAAAAGACAAACCCCAATTCAAAGATCAATCATACAAGGGAAAGTATCAATTCTTCTTGTACTTGCTTAAAAACACAGCAGGAAAGAGGACACTAGAGCTTACCAATATGAGGTATAACCCTATTTTCTCACTGACTTCAACTATATAGTTGGAACAATACCACACACAAAACCTCAGTAGACACGCCTGTGTGACAGCCCTGGGAGAGCATCCATTTTGCGCCAGCAGGGACCCAGCCAACTGGGACACCTCCATGCTGTCACTGTACTGACTTCTGACTTCAGTACCTCCTCTCCTGGCCTATCCGTATCACACCGAATGTCCCCCTTCAATGCCTTACTCCCTGGACTCTCTTAAATTCTACGATTCTACTCCCTCTTCCTGTTCACTAAACTTTCTGCCAACAGGTACCACCTCTAACATGATTACTGAATATTCACCTGAAGATTTTTAAAGTCAGCCTCATTAAGCTCCTGGAGGGAGAGATACCTGAGCTCAGAGTGAGATCACAGACTGCTCGTGAAAAAAGTAGGTAGGACAGCTGCATGACAAGAACATCCTGAATGGTGGGCCTGGGACGACACAGACCAGTCAACTCCTGAGAAATCCATTCTGTTATGACATCAAGAGAAGGAGCAACAGCGAGCACTTGAAGAACAGCAATTTTATCTGTATGTTCTGAGCACAGCAAATATCCTTTTCTTGGTGAACCTCAAGGGTGAACTGGCAGTATTTACTATAATACTGTGATGAACTATTATATTCTTTTGCTTGGGAAAAGAAATAAAAATTTTGAACTTCTAAAATATTTGAGTCTTTAAAAAACTCTGGAACAGACTAATGAGAATAATTCCTAAAATTTATCAGATGCTTTATACCAGACTTGTAGCTTACTGATTTGACTAGGGTCAAAATAAATGACTTATCCTAAGCCAATCATTTAAAAAGAAATTCTTTTCACTCTGGCTGGTGTGACTCAGCTGCCTGGGCATCATCCTGTGCATCGAAAGGTTGCTGGTTCAATTCCAGGTCAGGGCACATGCCCCAGCTGCGGGCCTGATCCCCAGTAGGGGGTGGGCAGAGGAGGCAGCCAATCGATGTTTCTCTCTCTCTCCCTTCTTCTAAAATCAATAAAAACATATTTTAAAATAAGAAATTCTTTTCTAATCAGGGAATAAAAGGCAATTTTTTTTTCCTTTTAAAGGAAGGGAGGAAGGCAGGTGGGGAGGGAAAGACTTCGTTTTCTTGAACCTAATTTTAAATCTCTTAGGAAATTTCAAAATAATCAAGCTCTCTGTAAATACTGTCAATATATGTGAACTTGTTTGAAAACTACAGTTATATTTACATTTTTGGAAACTTTCCTTCATGGCCATGTAACGTGTTGTATTTTCCTCTTTGCTTCGGGGGGCTTCAGGTTATTCTAAAAAGACATGAACAGAAATCAGTTTATACTTACAAACACATCAGAGAAGAACTGAAATGAACATTTTTAAACCATGGAGGTTTACTACCAACATACAAATGGCAGATCCTTGCTGCCATCTGCTGGAAAATATTTTAGGAGACTAGGAAAAAGAGCAAGCCTCCCTGGCTCCCATTTCTCTAGCTGTGGTTCTCAAACGGCTGCACCTCAGAATCACCCTGGGCACTTACAAACATGTCCAGACCTGGGCGTTTTCCCAGACCAATTAGACTGGAACCCACAGATGGCAGGGATAAGGCTCTGACCTTTGATTTCTGAAGTTCTTTCAGGTGTCCCTAAGGTACACTCAGGGTTGAGACCACTGACTGCTCCTGGGCTGCTTCCTCCCTGCCGAGCCCATGTCCTCCCTCAATCTCACAATCCAGTATCTTTCACAGAACAGATTTTAAAAAACAGAATAAAAACCCACACCTCTGAGCCTGGCTGGTGTAGCTCAGTTGGTTGGAGCCTCTTTCCATACACCAAAGGATGGCTGATTTGATTTCCAGACAGGGCACACACCTAGGTTGTGGGTTCAATCCCCAGTCGGGACATGTATGGGAGGCAACCGATCGGTATTTCGTTCTCTCTCCCCCCTTCCTCTCTCTAAAATTAACAGAAAACATATCCTCACATGAGGATTAAAAATAAATAAAAATTCTAAAAATCATGCCTCTAGAAGAGTAAAAATTTTCTGAGTAGAAAAATGTTTTCTCAGAAACTGAAGAAAAATCCTTGACACTCACTGCTTGTTGTAATGAGGGCGGATTCTTCTCCCCATTCCTACCTGCCACCCTCTTCCTCTTTCCCACAACGGTGACTGAGTGAAGTGTTAAGGAAACATGGTATCAAAAGTGCACATTCTGGGGCCTAACAGACCTGAATTCTAACTGCAGTCTGGCCACATATTAACTCTGGAACCCTGGACAAGCTTATTTAAATTACCCAAGCTTCTGTTTTCTCATCTGTGAAATGGGAACCACCACTGTGTCTATATCACAGGACTGCTAAAAGAATTCAAGCAACTAATATAAGAGCTTAGGGCTGGTCAGATACACAGTAGCTTTCTTTTTCCAGGGTCTACTATTTTAGACTGTCTGAACTACTCCAAGTTTTGATCCCTTTGACATACAATTTGAAGATAGTAAAGCCAAAGTATCTACTATAGGAATGTGCTACAGACTGAGTGTCTGTGTCCCCTCAAAAGTCATGTGCTGAAACCTAACCCCCAATGTGATATTTGAAGGTGGGGCCTGTGGAGTGATTAGGTAATAGAAGTGAAGCCCCTCATAAATGGGACTAGTGTTCTTATAAGAGACCCCAGAAGGCTCCCCTGCCCCTCTGCCATATGAGGACACAGGGAAAGGCAGCTGTGAGCCAGGAAGTGGGCTTTCCCCAGAAAAAGAATCTGCCAGTGCTTTGATTCTGGACTCCCAGACTCCAGGACTATAAGAAGTAAATGTTTACTGCGTGAGCCATCGTCAATGTGTTTTTTGTTACAGCAGTCTGAAAGGACTAAGACAAGGAATAAAGACTATAAAACTGCTGGATGTGTACATAATCTCATAAATTAAACTCTAAATAAACTGTGTAACTATCAAATTTGCCAGCATATAAAATGCTTAAGTATAGAACACAACCTAGTGGATTCCCCAAATGTCCTCTATCCCTCCCCAAGGATAGGGAAATTTGAGGGGCAGGGGAGTCAAATGATAAATCCTAAAGACTCTAGTGTGGTTTTAAGGTCAGTGCCACCGGAACGTGCGACCCTGCACAAATTACTTAACACACTGAGCCTTGCTACAGAAGAGTATGTCTTTTAGTTGCAAGCTAATTAAAGGATCTAAATGAGAAAAATGCAGGGTAACTGCCTAAGAGATTCTTTCTCTCTTTATACATTTTAAGCAAAAAACAAAACAAAACCCTATGAGTGTACTTTTGCAAAAAGCATTAGTTTATCATCATGGATTTTAAAATTCCAGGGTTCAAACACATGAGAAATGAGAGGTACAAATAAGAGATCATGCAAGGGTTAAGAAACAGCTTGCAGCACAGCTGCCTGACAGAGCCCTTGTTTCCCCTCAGGAGCAGGGACCCACTGGCACTCACCGCGGCCTCAGTTTCCTCTTTAGGAGCAGCTCGCTTTAGCTTCACTGGAGTAGTTCCCATGGGGGACAGAGGCGGCAACTTCACGGGGCCCAAAGGACCTTTCCCATGTGCTAAGTCATGGTTCTGTTTAGTGTCATTATTACTGTGTTCCATTTTATTGTTCATAGGCAAATTGGAAGACAAAATTAGGGGCGAAACGCTGGAAGAAGAATCTGCTAACTTTCGAAAGGCATTACTGGTAAAGCCTGCCTGGGGGGGATGCCTGAGTCGGTCATTATCCCCATTCTCCGTCTTCTTCACTTTTATGCTTGTGCTTGTTGAACTTCCATCAAACACAATGAGGGGTCTTTTCTTTGACACATCTACAGTGCTACTCCTGAAATTGAAGAGACGCATTCATGAAAAATACCTCTGGAATGGCAAAGCAGTTACTGGACTGGAAACTTGTAACAATGACCAAAAAAAAGGACTGGTAAGACAAGAATCTACTGTAAGTAAGACCACTGGAAATGAAATTTTCTGTTATATTCTAAATGAAATAACAATTTTTTGGTGCTTTAAAGTTTCAATATTTATTGACGTGAAATTTAAAGATAGCTTTATTGTATACACAAGAGTTATTTTTAAAATATCAGTCAACCAACTACCCCAGAACTTAAAACAGAATTTCCTAGTGACTAAAATTTTTTTTTAATTTTGAAAAATCACCATCTTATTAATGGGGTTATCTTGACCTTGTATTATTATTTAGAAAGGATAATAAACTATAAAACTATGCCAAGACTACCATAGCGACAGTCTACATACAATGATACAGAGCATTCTATTTCATTCATTAAGGTCTCTTTAAAGACAAAGCATTTTCTAAACCAACTGTAACATTTGTATGACTTTAATTTTAAAATTTAGGAAGTCTTCATATTTAGCTTCTGAAAACCTAATTTCCACTTTAATCATGAAAATAATAAAAGCACTCATTTGATCATTATTCTTTATACTTCAAACAGCAGATTTATGATAAAGAAAACTTTTTAATTAAACATGTTAAAAGAATGTGAGCAGGAAGAAGCCTTCAGCCTTGCTACTTGACCTTGCTACTTCAGCCTTACTGTTCCAGGGCATCTTCGGAGCTTGGAAGAAATTCAGAATCTGCCTTTTAACCAGATCCCAGGTGATAGGCCATGCTCATCAATTCCTGGGTCACCAATGACAACCATTTAGTAGAAGATGAAAAATAAGCTCACTGTAACCCACTGCCATTGCAGGAGGGAAACTAAAGGACTCAGAGTAGGTGCATCAGCTGTGAGAGTTCAGTCTAAGAGTCGAGGCACTTCAAGTGTGCACTGCAATAAAGCCCTGGCCCTGGCTCTGTGTGACCTGGGTATGTCATAGCACTTCTCTAGAGCTCAGCTCCTCCAGAGATGATTTAATAGGCGATTCAGTAACACCTGATCTTTCAGATTATCCAGCTTTAATGCTCAGATACAGGAGTGAAATTGTGATTTTTAAAAATAGAGCGAAAGATCCGTTCCAAAATGACACTGAGGGACTAAAAAGGACTGTCATGTGAAGTGTATATAACAGGATCGAAAGCTTTGCTTAGGACAATGTGCCTGAATGTGAAGACAAAGAAAATACTTTCGTAGTAAGAGTCAGCAGAAGTAAATTAAAGACATGCACAGCATAATCCATAAATTTATGAAAGATGACACTAATATACAGCCTGTATCAACATGCAACCATTAAGCTAAAAAGATGCTCAATCTGAATTGAATGCGAGGCTGCACATTTATTTACTTTCCAAAAGACTCTGAGCATACATGAGCATTCTTCCAACTATTCTACTCCTTGGGGAATAATCTTTGGGGAATAATCTCCCAATCGGTCATGACGGTTCTTCATTCGTCGTTACTAGAGATTGAAACCAGGAATCAACGTAGAATGGCATTCTCCCTCACCCCACCTTCCCGTCACTACTGCATTGCCCATGACAGAACTTTACAAACAGAAGGCTCTAAAAGGAAATTCAGTAATGAATCAGTAACATGCACTTGCAATAATAGAGACATAGGAAAAGAAATAACTAGCCCCCTTAAGGATCTTTGGGTACTTTGTCCTAATTAACTAACCAACTATACTGATTAATCACATGTACCTTTAAAAGGGAAATTCAGCCCGGTCGGGCGTGGCTCAGCGGTTGAGCATTGACCTAGGATCCAGGAGATTGTGGTTCGATTCCTGCCCGGGTTGTGGGTTCAATCCCCAGTCGGGGGCGTGCAGGAGGCAGCCGATCAATGACAACTCTATCATCATTGATGTTTCTATCTCTCTCCCTCTCTCTTCCTCTCTCTGAAATCAATAAAGATATATTTAAAAAAATAAAAGGGAAATTCACTTGCTTGTCGTTCTATAAACAATTCTCTGAAATTTAAAAATTTTAAATAGTGTCCTTGAAACTACAAGAGTCTCTTCATTTCTATATTATTCAAATATCTTAGAGTCTTGACTCTATTTTTTATCACAATTCAGCATATGTTGTTGACTCTACCTCTAACATACATCCAGGCTCCAACTACTTCTAATCAAGTCCACTACTACCTCAGCCGGTCACCATCAGCTATTGCCTGGATTACTGCAATCTCCTAATTGGCTTCCCTGTTCCCCTCCCTGACCTTAAATCACTTCTCACTACAGCAGCCACCATTACCCAGTTAAAAGATACATCAGATGGTATTATCACTCTGTTGAAAACCCTCCAGTGCCCTTTCAACAGTAAAACCACAGTTCTCACAATGACTTACAAAGCTTTCGTGATCTGACCATCTCCACTCACCCCCAATTAACCTGTCCCTACCCTCCCTTTGAGTCTCTCCACCCCAGCCCTGGTGGCCTTTGTTGTTCATAGGCGCACTCCTGACCCCGATTTTTGTATTCTGCCTGGAATGTTAGCTTGCTCTCTGCTCTCTAGATCTCTACTGGAACAGCATTTCTCAGTGAGGTTGTTCCTGGCCACTTTAACTAAGACTGTAATCCCTCTCACTGCTTTTTCTTCTTACCATCCATCATAGTGTAACACACCATATATTTTACTTAACTTTTTAATTATGTTTCTTCCTATTAAAATGTGAGCAGGGAATTTTGTTAGTTTTAGTCATGCACAATGCCTGGTGCTCAATAAATAGTTGTTGAGTAAACAAAAAAATTTTAACCTAAGTTTACCTGGGGAAAAAAGACAAGCAAAATTGTTTAGTCATATAAGATAAAACCAGAACCACTGAAAAGTACCTTTTAGTCTCATTTTTTAGCTCATGTTGTTCTCTTTTCTTTTCCATCATCTTCCCCCATCTATTCTTTGGCAAATCTCTCTGAGGCAATGGTATTGCATGCTGAACATAAAGATCAGTAAGATTGTCTTTGTTTATTCTTACGTCATTTTCAACAGTTATGTTCTTCTGTGGAAAAGGAAACAAGAGCAGTATTATAAATAGGTTAAGCTCTGTAAATATTAGGTTCAGCCTCATTCTAAAGGCAATGGTCACAGGTCCTCAGTGTGACGACTGCTGTCCACAAGTGTTCAGCCAACACACGAGGCAGTAAGAGCATTTCCAATAACATAGTCCCAGTCTATGAAGGGAACTGAAGATGGATGACTGCCTGGGGTCAAAACCAGACAAAAGGAAAGTAACGAGGGAAGGAAACGAGGATGGCAATGAGATCATGGGCTCTTTAACTGCAACTCTGAAGGGCCTGGAAACGTGTATTCAGCAGAAATAACGAAACAAATCCAATCCATGTCTTGTGTTCACTTCCCCCAATCTCTTTTTTCCCTTCAAAACTTAAAAGCACAAATTTTACTCCCTTTCTCTCTTGTACTAGATGATCCTTTATTATCAATTTTCACCTTGTACTCACTGAGAGATATGTGGAAACCCTGGGGGTTCTCTTAGACAACAGGCCCAGAGAATTCACTGGCAGGTTAGTTTGGGAAGCACTGCTTAAGGGCAGAGGTGCTCAAACTGCGGTTCCTGAACTAGCAGCAAGAACTTGTTAAAAACGCAGACTTTCAGGCCATACCCCAGAACTACTGACTCTGACACTCTGTGGATGAAGCCCAGCAATAAATGTGTTTTAACAGGCCCTGGGAGACTCTGATGTACCTAGGAAGTTTGAAACGCAGGCAAAGGTAACTGACATCACTAAAATAATCCACTTGGCAGAGGGGCTTGATGAAATTATAGTGCTGAAGGTTTAGAAAACACCAAAAAACAAAATATGCTACATAAAACGCCAAGGAAACGGTCAATAATTCTCTACCACTTTAAACAAAATTTATCACTTTTTGCTTCTTTTTCAACTATCAGAGGCCATATTAGCTGAAAAAGAGCAAAGGCTACACTGAGAACTCTGAACCCCGAATTCTCCTCCTAGCTGCATTATTTACCGCAGTTAAATAATGGTGTGACTTTAAATCAGGTAGTTCACCTCTCTGGGACTCAGTTTCCTCATCTTTAATCGAGGTGAGAGTGTGGAGAATGCCTCCCAGCCCCGACGGTTTCTGATCACTACCCTTATTTCGGTTCTTGCCCATCCTTCCCCCGCCCCTCGTCCTCGCTTACACACAGGCCGCGGGGGTCGCCTAGGATTCCTTTGCGAGTCATCAAGAACCCAAAAAGGTAAGTCCTAATCCCCAGGAATTCCTGTTATGCTAAGGGCGTCTCTTTTCCGGAGGGGGCGTGGGGAGACCTGGTCGGTCAGTACCGAGAGTCGCACAAACCGGGCGGGAGGAGCGAAGGCAGCGGGTGTGTCCGCCGCCAGAGGATACTTGGGGCGGGCGCGGGTCTGAGCATTTCTGCCCCCGGGCCTCTCGAATACCACCCCCACGC